CCTTCCTTCCTTCCTTCCTTCCTTCCTTCCTTCCTTCCTTCTTTCTTTCTTTCGTTCTTTTATTGTGACATCTTTTATCTTTCTTTTTTTCTTTTCTTTAATACATGTTCTATCTTTTCCGGACTTCTGCAATCTTTTTGTTCTCCTTTTCTTGGGGGATTTCGCCATTATTTCTTCCCTTTAAAAATATATATTATCTGTCCTCTCCAAGCTGTTTTATTTTCTTCTTTTGTTTTCATCTTTCATTCGTTTCTTTTTCTTGTCTTAATTTCCTTTCCTTTTCTTTTCTTCTTTTTCGTTGTTGTTTTATAGGGGGGAGGGAGGCTGTGTTATGAATTTGCATTGCTTGTAACCTTTATTCCTTTATCTATTTATTTTTTTATAAAATTTTGTTCAAAGGGTAGACCTATGTTTAAGGAAAATAAATAGATCTAAAAGTACCCAGTGAGAAGAAATCCCACACTGCAATATTTGACTTGAGGCAGGTCACTGTACAACTCAGTCGTAATCGGAACCGCTCTTTGCGTTTTGACAAAGAGTCTACATAACAAGAGGGGCCCCTCCTCTCTTTGAGCAAATTAAAAAAAGTGTCCTCAAAATTCGACGGCGCCCTCTTCGCAAATGCGCACCCTTTGCGAACAGAGTTACCCTACTTGTGTTACGCTGATAAAAAACCTTTTCCGAAGGAAGGGGTGATTGTTTTCTTCGTTTAATTTGACTTTAGAATGAAAGGCAAGAGGTCATTAAAATATTTTTTTTAAACCTAAAACTCCGCATTGAACAAACCCGAACTGCTGATTAATAGCAATTGGTCTGCGCACGCAAGGAGGTGCTATTCCTATTCTACTTCTGGAAAAATGAAAGAGAGCTTCAAAACAGATCGCAGCGCCATCGGAAGCAAAGAGCGGACTTCCGGCGGACACTTTTTTGTCTGATTGGACCATCTTGTTATGTACTATCTTTGGATTTGAGCCAAAGCTGGGTTTCCGTCAATTTTTGGGTGCCCATTGGCACGATCGAGTCGGGTCAGGTCGGGTCGGGTCGGTTTGCTGGCCAGATTGAGGGGGCAAAGCGGCTATCGTGGCACAAACCGATCGCCTGACACGTCGCCTCGAAAACAAACGCGTGACCAATGAGCAATTCGTTGATTCTTATCCTGGCTGAGTTATCTTTTCTTTCGACCGTTCTTTTCTTTTCATAATTTCCTTCCTTCCTTCCTTCCTTCCTTCCTTCCTTCCTTCCTTCCTTCCTTCCTTCCTTCCTTCCTTCCTTCCTTCCTTCCTTCCTTCGTTCTTTTATTGTGACATCTTACATCTTTCTTTTTTCTTTTCTGTAATACACCTGACCCGACCCCATCCACAATGGGCACCCTGTAAAACACTCAAGGAGT